TTCCCCACTAGCTGTTGGTCATCAAACAGAGACCCATGGTCGTAGAAGCCGAAACCCTGTTGCCAGGTCCAGCGGCGCAGCCAGTTGTTAAGCTGCCATATTCGCCTTCTCCTCCTTGAGTCCATTCCCCTCGTTGGCAGAATGGAGGAGAACACCACCTGGGCACCTGTACCTTTGATGGCCATCCCTAGGGCTCTGAAGTCTTGCTTGACGTCCCTCATTTTCCCCATGGCATCATTAGCACCCACATGAATCAATAGTAGAGGATAATAGTCAGACTCATGAACAATTCTTGGGAGCCTTTCTGTGACATCCTTTATTTTGGCCCCAGGCAAGCAGCAGACCTCTCTGGATGAGGGGTCCGGTCTACATATCGGTGCCTCCGTGCCCTGCAGCGTGGAGTCACCCACGACGATCACCCGCCGCTTCTTCCGGGTGCTCCTTTTCACTTTAGGGGGAGCAGCCTTGCTGCATGGATTAGACTGCCCCTGTGTAGAGATCCCCCTAGATGGGCCTTGGTTCAAGGCCTCCTCTATCTGATTCACATGTTCCAGGGCCTCGTACCTGTTGAACGTGGTCACCGGTGGAGGTGAGGTGGGCTGTGGAGGGGATCTTCTGCCACCTCGAGTGGGGAAAACATATTTGTTTTCTCCTTGCTTTGTCTTTGAAACAAATCTTGAGTGTAACCAACTTGAGGAATACTATAGTAATTGCAACTCTAGGTGACAGAATGGTAAATTATTTCTTGGCTTGGATTATAGGGGAAAGTAGACTGAAGCATTGCTTTCTAACAGTGGAATTTAAATGCAATCCTAATAATCACTGCTTTCGTTTGAACATCTATTGGTCATGCATTCAGGGACAAAACCAAACTCAGATATTTACAAGAACTGAGTATCAAGCTTGCTTTCTCAGCAGTGTGAAATGGAAATAGCTATTGGGGTCTTTTTCTGATTTTTTTTCCTGATCTGGGCTGCATCTGACAGTGTTTCTAACGAGCTGAGAGATGTGGTCCTGCCTTTCTATTCAGCATTGGTGAATCCACATCTGGGTTGCTGCAGCCGGAAGGTACTAGAGCGAGTCCAGCAAAAGGAGATCATCAAGGATGGAGCATCTATCTTGGAAGGAGAGGCAGAGAGAGCTGGACTGAGTTGTTCAGCCTGCAGAAGAGGAGGCTCAAGGGATTTTATCATTGTGCATAAATATTCAATGGAGGGGGAATAAAGATGGAAGCAGGCTCTTCTCAGCGGTCCCCTGTTGACAGGACAAGTGGCACAGGGCATGGAAAATCCCACCTGAATACGAGAAAAAACCTCTTCACTGCAAGGGTGTCCAAGCACTGGAGCTGGTGTGAGCAGCCTGCCCTGTCTGACCCTGCTTGAGTGGGGTTTGGTCTAGATGATTCTCCATAAATGCCTTCCAGCCTCAACAGTTCTGGGATTCCATTGATTCCGTTTTCTTTTCTTCTTTCCTACATGCATACAATTAGAAATAATGTAGAGAGCTTTATTTACTTATTTTTTAATTGTGAATCCCAAAGTTCTAGCTGTTTTACTAGAAATGCAAGTGGTTCTTTTTAACCATGTGCATAAATGCTGATGGACTGTACAGTGATTCAAAAAATCTAAAATTAGCATCTTATATAAAATATAGCATATAATTTCTAGGAATAATTCTACAAATTTACCACTATTTGTGAAATAAATGAAGTAAAAAGGAAAATAGAAATCCCCTGAACTATTAACATAGTGCTCAAGGCTATGTTTCAGTGCCTGAAACAAGGTTTAGCATTGAAATGGAAGTCATGAAGACAAGTCATGTTTCCTTTACATAATACTTTGACTTTCTTCACCCATCAAGTAGTAGCAATAGTGATTATTCACATTACTTGAACTTTGTTACCTGGTTTTTATAATCCTTAATTTGTCTGTATCTGAACCTGTACTGTTACTGGAATTTATTATCAATGTACTTTTTCAGTTACTTGTTTTTGGATACTTTAGGCACAATCCATAGATGAAAATATAAAATATCTAGGGAGGTGTTAAGCCTGTTTGGAGGTAGTGTTAGTGGTCACAAGCTGTTACAAAATACTTTGTGTAACTTCAGGATTTGACTGTAATATATTTCAGTTTGTGCTCAGCATCCCTTACTGTGTAAGGATACTTGTTTTAAGAATGTATTATTTTTGGTGGAATATTTTATGGTTGATTTTTGGAAAAAAATCGTTTATAAGGGTTGGAGTTACCCTGTTCTTCCTAACATCCTCTTTATATTAAGACAGACACCTTTTCAGAACATACTCTTATTGTTGTATCTTATGTGACTTATTATGTACCCATTTTAGGATGAAGTGAGTATTCCTTTAGGCATGCCTGTTCTTTTTATTAACTATAAAGGGACCTTAAGCTGATTACTGTGAACTTAAGAGTCAAGTTAGATGCTGTGGTTAGGCCCCTCTAATGTGCATATATGAATATTTCTCTGCATATGGATGAAATACAGCAATGCATATGTTAAATGTGTGCTGCTTAATGAAGTGCAGTATTGCATAATCATATGCTTTCATGAGAGATTAACCGATGACAGTTGAAATGTTTTATTGAATAGGTCCCTTAAAATGGATTTTCATGTACTCTACATTCTAAAATATATTTCCAGTATTTAAAAAGGTGCAAATATAAATGACTATGCTATGATGTACTAGGAAAATGTGTAGAGTTTACACTTACTCTTATTTTTTCCTCCCTTTTTATTTTTTTTTTCAAAGCAAATAATATCTGGAGTGATCTCCAAGTATTTTATTTAAATATGAACTTGATATCACTTGCCATTTGAAAAAAAAATATAATGGGCTGCAGCATATATTAATAAGAGTTGACAGTATATTAATTATAATGGGCTGCAGCATATGTTAATAAGAGTTGACAGTATATTATGAAAAATTTATATTAATCTACTGTATAGATTTTGAGCTAATTATGTTTAGAAATGCATTAAAAATGAGAATATTCAATGAACATTTTTTTAAACAGCTTTATAACAGAGCAGGCAATCTCTTAGATGTAACCCTGCTGCCACAATTATGAACATGAAAGGAGTTGAGGTATCATACCAGGATGTGAAGTCTCCCTTTTCAAAATGGGTAAGGAGTAGATTGCATTTGCTAGGTAATATTAAATATGCTGTTAATTGAGTGATTGGTTTTGATAGTTGAAATATCTTTAACACCTGCATGTGAAAGTAGAGAAACACAAGTTTAATCTTTTCCTCTGTTTTCTGTTTAGGAAATAGTCATGTAATAATCTCAGCATCGGTGACCAGTGGCATGGCACCGGTCCCTGTTCTTTGTGCACCTGGTGTCTCCCGCCCTGCTCCCCAAATAGAGCACAAAGATACTCTATCTGACGTTTGAACAGTTGCAAGTGTCTTGAGAAAATCTTTCAGTGTTTCTAAAACAACAACAAATATAGTCTGTATTTCCATTTATTTCAAAAGTAGAACTTTTCTGCTCTTGAAGAGTTAAGTCTTTGCTGCTTACAGAAATCATTGTGTCTGAAGATTAGGAAAAGGAAATCTAATTGAAAGGATACAGATTTTATAAGACTACTCCAAAGCTTTGATTATTTGAGAAAGCTCAGCTGACATTCAAGAGAAAAACTTTTGTTTTAAATGGTTATTGTGTGTTTATTGTTGTTGCCTTTAGTTTACAAACAAAAATCTGTGTCCTCACCTTAAGTCTCATAAAATGCCTAGCCTTTAAAGCAGAAGGGAAGACAAAATTGGGTATCTGAATTTTTTTGGGGAAAAAAAAGTATTGGGATTTGTGAGAGGAGAAATATTTTTCTACCTTTTAATCCACAAAGAAACAAAACAATAGTTTTGTTCTATACATGTATTTTTGTGTGTGGATGGATGTGTGTGTCCAAACACACATTTGCATACAGTTAACTTGAGATTGAAGGCATGTTTTGACCCAGATGATGTCAGCAACAAACACACAATGACTCGAATGATTCCGTATTTTTGCTTTTGATCTCTAGGTTTCCGTAGTGTAGAATTTTGAATGTACCCATTTGGGGTTGTGCATTTTGGCAGAACATGCATACACCGTCACTATGGTTTAAAAATGTGTGTACTCACTTCCCATGTTTAAAAGTAATGTTTTGAATTTTGAAATTAAAATACATGAAATCTTGAGTCATTTAGCTTAATGGAATTTTTTTTTCATGTAGCTTGATGTTTTATATTGAAGATACACTTCAATATAAAATGCCTTGTTTTGGTGTAACTTCTGTAATTCGTTATAATTATGACATAACTGGTTTAATTTTCCCTGCTTGATAGCCAAATATAACAATGTTCACTCTCAGTAAGCCTGAATCAAAACAAAACTGTACTTCAGAGTACTGTATTCCTAGCTACCCACTATGTGATTGTGTGTCTGTGCTTATTAAACTTCCCCAATACTGTAAAGCATAAGTAACCCTCAGATTGGCCTAGTACATATTATTTATTAAACATTTGTGCATCTTGGAACAATATTAGTATAGATGGTAAAAACACACTGTTATAATTCTTAAAGATAGTTATTTTACAAACTCTTAATTTTCCTTGACCTTTTCCTTGTTTAGCAAGATACTGTTTTCATTGACCACCCATTATTTCAAAGTGGAGAATGGAGGTGAAAGATCTGTGTGTGTCACCTTTGGCTTTTTCTTCTTTGTGAAAGCAATGGCAATCCTGATTGTGACAGAAAATTACCTAGAATTTGGACTGGAATCAGGTAACTGCTTTCCTTAATGTTTGCAATAGCCCTATTGATTGCATGAGCTGAAAATTTAGTGTTAAGCCTTCAGGTGTTCTTGATAATATCTTTATTAAAATGAACTTTCTGTGATATATTTTTAGGAAATCTTGCTTTGGCATATGGCTTTTGAAGGATATCCTGTATATTTTCCGTGTTTGTTTTAGATAGTGTAGTCTTTGCCTAGATTGCTTGTTTTTTTAATTTTATTTGCCTTCCAGTTTTATTTTTAACCCATTTTACTTTGCGTAGTAAAGGGAAGCTCCTCTACAGAAAAAAAAAGATACTTATGTTCTTAAAAATTAATGTAAATTTTATTCATGTTCATGAAATGTACAAATATCAAAGAGATGTTTTCAAAGACTGCTCATGTTAATAACCAAGTTTTATTGCATTATGGCATGCTAATTAGCACATGAAAGAGCTATGCTAGACATGCGAAAATTTATTTTAAAGATGTTCTGTTACCTAGCATTTTATTTCAAAAAGAAGAGGTTCTGTGTTTGTACTGTGAAAAAAATGCATATGTCTCTCTACAGGATTCTCAAATTTTTCGCAAAGTGCTATGCAGTTCCTTGAAAAGCAGGGTTTGGAATCCCAGTAAGTTTCTGGAAATATATTGGTCTTCATTATGTTGCATTAATAACTGAACCACTTGGATTTCCTTAGCAAGCCTTTGTGTTGCATGCATTGCTTTTGTATATGCTTGTGCTCTTGTATTAATGAAGGGGTGGATTAATGAAAATAATCCATCAGTATCTGCAAATAACTTAAGTTCCACATGTCTTTATTTTTGATGCAGTTTCTGTCCTAGCACTTTCCCTGAGACCATGAAGTATAGTTCAAATTATGAACCTTTTTCTCATTGTAATTCTGGAACAGTTTCTCCTTCTTGGAGAAAAGTGCTTAAATCAGGAGATTTCTCCCCCCCTCGATGATTTTTGATTTTTTTTGAAAATGTTTTTGAAAATGATTTTTTTCATTTTTTCTCTGCTAACAAATATAACATCTTGTAGTAATTAGTTTAGGTTTTTGTCTTCCTACATTGAAGAACTTTGTGTGTGTTTTTTTATAGGTGTCTTGAGTTTTTTTAATTTCAATTTCTTGAATTGCTTATAATAATGCTGATATTCTAGAATCAAACCATAGAAAACTGTTTGCTCTTTTGATAAATGCTAGATCGTGTTAAGTTGAAAGTAGTCTCTGATTTGCCCATCCCAACTCCCTCTGCCCCGTCAGAAAATGCTTATTTCCTTTCTTTTCTTTTAGGGGTCCTGTGTCTAAACTAACCTTCAAATTGTTCCTGGCTGTTCTGTGTTCACTTATTGGTACTTTTTTGACATTCCCTGGCTTGCGACTGGCTCAAATGCATCTGGATGCTCTGAATTTAGCAACAGAAAAAATAACACAGTAAGAGAAAATATACACACATAGGTATATGCTACCCAGTCTTAATTCTCTATTTGATGTCTGAAAAGAAAACAAACTATTCCAATAAGAAGGTAGTGACTAAGACTTGTGTTGCTGCCTGCTTTTCATATATCCAGCAAACTTGCCATCTGCCTCTTTCTGCTCGACCTGCCCTCTGCCAGTCTATTACCTTCTCTGCCTCTTAACTAGAGTACCAGTTAAAGGAATGTTCATTTGTTCCAACATGAGAGTTTCTGCTTCAACGTGAGTTTCTACTTCCTGCTTTCTTTTCCCCATCATATCTTTTTGGAAGCTCAGATAACTGTGTGGAAGAAGAGGTGTACCCATAACTTACTTATTTGTAATTCTTCTAGGTAATGTTAATGAATTTAGGGTAAGATCCAGAAGAAGATAATGAAAGGGAAGAAATAGCTTCAGAAAAGCAGTAATCTGGAAACACATTTAAAGGGAATCTAAAACTCAGTAAAAATCTCTCTTAAATGTTGAAATTAGAGTAGCATATAGGAAGCAAGTTCAACTGGTAATACTTTTGTCTTTAAAATGAAGAGCAAGTTAAAATTGTCCTCCTCAGTATTTCCAGGTATCTTGCATTGTTATGATGCAAAATATATAATAAGGGTCAGAGGTTTATTCAAATTAAAGGAACACTTACATTTTCAACTGTTCATGAGGTTGGAAATAAAATGTTTTCTTATATTTAAGTATTTCTCCATTTTTTTTTTTTGGTTAAGCAATTTCAAATGTCTTTCATAGTTCTCAACCTCTAAATATTTAGTACATGTTAATGAAGGATTCTGCACGTGAGGCATGGTGTTGCTGCTTACATGAGAAATCTGTTAGACTTTGACGTAATTTTTTTCCCAATTAATTTTACTCTGATTAAGATGTGTGTGTACATGTATGCACACAAATTTTCCCCCTCAGCCCCAGCTGCCCACTTGAAAAATGTATCTGTTTTCAGAATGGATCCTTCAGACTTGGTAGATTGTTAATTAATTAATTCCTCTGTATTTGACTTACATTCTCATTGTAGTTGAATGCATCCAGTTACAGCTGCAAGCTGTTGGCTTTTGTTGCATCTGCTCTTAAGTTTCTGTCTCTGTGTAGACTGTGATCAGGTCACCTCTTTACTCTTTTGTTCTTTCAGCTAAGCAAATTAAACTCCTGAGCCTTTCGTTTTTGTGGTTTCCAGTATTTTAAAAGTTCTTATGTCTTTCCTGGAACTATCCTCTATTTTTTCAGTATTTCTCTTGATCTGTGGATCCTAGATCACAGGATCCTAGGTCCTAGCAGAAATATAACTGAAACATGACATGATTAATCATGAACTAAGAGGGTGATTAATATCCACTAGTGTGGGTTTGTGGAAAATAAAAAGGCAAAAAAAAAAAGCTTTTGTCGAACTTAATCTTTAGTGAAAGTTGAAACTGGTTGTGCAGCACCAAGCAAAATATTTTTGAAAGTCTACCAATACTTTGCCTATTCAACTGGAGCAGTATAAAAATGACATTAAATGGATTAAAACTTGCTTAGATATCAGTGTAATTGGGTAATGCAGTTATAAACAAAGAATCATTACTGAGTAATTGTTTTTATTGGGCTGTGAAGAGATCAGTATTTGCCTTAAGCCATGTGTTTTTATCAATGAGTAGATCATTATTGACCCTTTGCAGTAGTTTGACAGTGACTAAAGGGGAGCAGTAAATGAGGATGACGTCATTGATACAAAACTCTCTAATTTGGGTGCTGGAAAACAATGCCTTTCCCTGCAGTTAAATATAAGGTCATACATTTGTAAAGCTTAAAAGACACAAGCCATAATTACAGAATGTGAAATTTGACTATGGAACAGTAACTAAAAGAGTAGGAAGTTAGATAAATGATGAAATTCCCCTTCTGTAATTGGCCAAAATGATAACCGTGACTCTTACCTATATAAATATGGTATAAGCTTTCGTGCACAATAAAATGAAAATAACCTGATGTCCATTTTAATTCCAGTAGCATGCTTGATTTTTTTTCTTTAGCAGCAACTTCCATCCCTGGATATATTTTGGAGTTCCTTC